TAGGGAAAATAAGGGCTAGAGGAAAAAATGAAGAAAACTAAAAGCTTCACCCTATCAAATTCCAGACCACGTTGCAGAAAGAAGACCATCACTTCCAAAAAGTGTTCCACTGATATTGAATACTAAACAGGTGCATCAATCCTCAAAGCTTCCTCCCAGTGTTTGTCTTAAAATGTTCACAAAACGGTAAATGGCTCTTGTGAGATGACATATTACTCCTTAGTCTCTTCAATACTGTACTTCCCCCAGGTAAATCTCACTAGCATTTGTTCATTGGATAGAATTTGGGTCAAGAAACAGAATCGTACTATTCTAGGCCCCATTCAAATCTTGATGTGATCCAGCCACGGTGTTAACATTTCCTGGAGGACACACTGATTCTCTTAGTTTTAGAATGGAAAATGCTGTAACTGCAGGGAACAGTTAGCCAAGAGAACTGAGGGTCATGCAGTTTTCCGTACTAGTTGACATAAAGATCTTAAATAATGTCAGGCAGTCCTTAAGGCAAAGTGAGTAATGCAAAATTTACTAACGTTTTGATGTATTTTTACAGTCCTGTAGAGATGTCATGCTCTGCAGTAGATGGTGTGAATGTGGAACTAACTCTTTCTAATTTTTCTCGATAAAGATTTGGACATTTTTTGCAGAGGTGGGCTGCAACATGCTTTCGGAAAAAGGCATAAAGATATTTCCTAAATTTTTCTCCAACAAATGCATAGATCACAGGATTGATACAGCAGTGGATCATTGCGATTGTTTCTGTCACTTGGATTGCTTTCTCCAGTTGGCCTTTGATGTCACAATTTAGGTTGAAAAGTGAACTTTGAAATGTATGCAAAAAAGAAGAAATATGGAATGGTGTCCAGAAGACAAAGTAAAAAATCATGATCACGAAAATAAGCCTGACTGCTTTCTGTTTTTTCTCATTCTTGCACCTCAATAATGTTTTTAGAATTTGTGAGTAACTGAAAATCATAATGAGGATTGGAACAATAAGTCCTAGAATGTTCATCTTCAAAGTAGAGGAGTACTTCCAATTTATTCTGGCATCGCTTGGATAATGAGCACTGCAAGTATAACGTGAATTTTCCTTTTGAGTTTTGTGAAATACTATGCCAGGAACAGAAGCAAAAATAGCAACAGCCCAAGTGACAACGCTGGTGAGGATGCCGTAAGTAACTGTTCTAGCTTTTAAAGCAAACACTGCATGCACTATGGCCAGATATCGGTCTAGGGTCAACAGGATTATGAAAAAGATGCCGCTGTAGAAGCCAAGGAGGTAAAAACCTGAGAGAATTCTACAAAGCGCCTCCCCAAAAATCCAGTCATGAACAGCATAATAAGCCCAGAAAGGGAGAGAAAATATAAACAGCAAATCAGAAATTGCCAAATTGAGCAGGTAGATGTCAGTCATACTCTTCAGTCTCTTGTATTTTACCAGGATAAGGACAACGAGCATGTTGCCTGTGAAACCAAAAATCACCACCAAAGAATAAAGCGGTGGCAAAAGTTTTGCTGCAAAGTGCTTTTCCTCGGTTCCCAAGCATGGTGCTGAATCACTGTAGTCGAATTCTGTTGTCAGCGACCAGTCGGCTAAGTCCATGGTTTGGTTTTCCATGGTGTGTTGGTCTGGAAAGGAAGAAAAGGATGTTAAACTAGAGGAAACTGCCAACTTAGCAGTGAGGAGAATGAAACACGCTGATGTCCTCATCTGGAATGCTTTGTGCTGTTGAGCACATCAGTGTTACTACAGCAAGGTATGGAAGCAAAATGAACTTGCAGAGCTCCCAGGAAACCCATCTATATACCCGTGAAGTCACGTTACTGCATGTTGGAAGTGTCCTGCATGTCATTTTGTATGTGTACGCTGTCTGGTGTGGTTTTCCTCCTCAGTAGAGCCTGCCAGGTGCCTGACCCAACTGGGAGCAGAGGAATGATGAACTTAATCTGAGCAGTGGGTAGTTTGGGTCTGTTGTGCTCAGCAGTGGCTTTCCAAAGGGGTGGAGCGAGCCGGCAAGGCAGCAACAGGAAAGCACAGTGGCTGGCACGCAGAGCATAGCTGTGCTTGTCCTTGGGACCTGGCCACCTTCTCATTGTGCCAGTCCATACTGTAGCACTTGCCCAAGGAGGACCAGGCACTGGCAAGGTGTATACCAGCACCTGCAAAGGCGCTGTGACACGTAGTTGTGAAGAAAATTGGTCCTGTTTTACATCAATTTCAGTAGTATGAAGAGGCCCAGCTAAGAAGCAAAATTACTGAATAAAATTGGTCCTTTTTTACATCAAACCAGGACACATGGGTAAAACAAACTGACTGCCATTTGTTCCAGTTGTTCATGACTTCTTGGGAGTCTTAATGCCTGTGGGAATCAGGTCACTGGAGGTGTACAGATGACCTTTGCATAGTACTAAACATACACACCTGGTGGACCTGCAGTCCTGGGTGTTGCAGAGCAGCAAGTCGGCAGTGTTGGTCTGGGTTAAAATGGGAAACGCTGTGTCGTTTACAGAGTCTGGGTCAGGCGTAGGCCATGGAAGCGATCTGGTCTTGAGTAGCTCTGGAGTGAAAATGGTGTGCAGTCCTGTAGAAAGAGGAGATACCTTGGCAAACACCTTGGCAAATGGCATAAAAGATGACAGTTGCTACCAGTTTGGCCTATAACACCTGTATCTGTTGTGGCATCTTCCTGTCAATTGAAAGACCTCCCCAGTGCTCGGGGATGAAAGAAGTTTTGATTCCTTGTTTCAGTGGCTGTTTAGCAGCCAATATTCAGGAAGTCGAAAGTTTAGATTGGCTCAGTGTGTTGGAGGGGGCACAAATGGAAAAGGCAAATGTGGCCATCGCTATGAGTGTCCACTAACAGTTCTTCATGTGTAGCAGTTGTTTGATATTGTCCTTCATCCTTTTTGAGTTGGCGTTTCCAGTGAGGTGAGATCGTAATTGAGGAAGTGCAAGGGTTGCCCAAACTCTCTGTCCCTCCAGCTTTGGTTTGGGGACTGTTGGCAACTGTTGACCCTAAGCTCCACATCTACATGTCATTGAAATACCTCCAGGGATGGTGACTCAACTACTTCCCTGGGCAGCTTATTCCAGTGCTTGATAACCCTTTCAGTGAAGAATTTTTTCAATATTCAATCTAAACCTCCCCTGGTGCACTTAGCCTGGTTGAATCTTTGTATTTGTATGCAAAGAAAGTAATATTTTTTTTAATTTAGTTTGGAACTTATGTTGAGATTTAAAAACAACAGAAAAGAATTGTGGGAGTAACAGAACTAAATGTAACTGATTCCCTATGGCTTTGTCTCCCCCAGTGGGATGGGGGAGAGAATCAGATGGGCAAAAGGAAGAAAAACTTGTGGATTGAGGTAGAGACATTGAATAAGTGAAGGAAACAGAAAAAAACAGCAGACATGATACAAAGACAAACGCTTGCCACCTCCCACCAAGCAGCCAGCCAGCCTCTGAGCAATGCCTACTTTGGAAAAACTACCCCCCCCACACACACCCCACCAAGTTTTATTGCTGAGCATGATGTTATATGGCACAGAATATCCTTTTGATCACTTTTGGGTCACCTGTCCCAACTGTGGTCACAAATCTAAAAGACAGCACCATAAGGGCTGCAGTGAAGAAAATTAGGTCCATCCTGGCCACATCCAGTATGCCTTCCCACTACCAAAATTGAGTTCCTGCCCTGTACAATTCACACTGATGCTGCCCAGAAAGACAGCATATACTATGGTTATTTTGTTTACTGCCTGTGACCTGATGGGAAATCTCTGAGCATTTGCACGGGATAGAAGCCAGATCCTCCTCTTCACAATGAGCACAAAACATTACAAATATTTTCTTAAATGCTTTCTAGAATTCCCTATCCTTTGCACACAAGCAATGTTAATCACAAAGAGCTCTAGAAAACTAATCTGGCTAACAAATTATATTGGAAACTACTGTTTGCATTTGATTTTTTTTTTTCATTTATCTTTAACCTTTTTTCCAATTTTCATTTTCATGCAGAAAGGAACATCTTCTGCAGAAGCTGTAGCCCTTGACAAGAAGTCTGATTTTGGCATCAGTTGTCTAGGCATGAACCTTCAGAAATGAGTGTGTTAGCAAAAAAATCTCCAGGTTTATCTCTGCTCTTGTACTGTAAGTATAAATGGGCTCTTCTGAGAGATTCTGATTTGGGAACTTGTGATTATTTGGCTTATTTCCTTCCCCTCTTATTTTCCTTCCAAAATTGCAAATGAATACTCAGGAAGTCTTAGTGATTTTCATTTGTGGGCCTTTCTCATTTACTTGATGGACTGCGTGCAGCCATCAGTGCCCATCATTCTGCCCACACACCCAGTTTCTGCATGCACAGGGTAGTTTTGGTTGCTAACAGAAATTCTGGATGATTTCTGCAAAAGCGGGCAACTGAGTCAAACCTAAGGTAGAAATATAAGAGAAGGAGACCTTTGGTGCCCTACTTCCCTGCTAATTTATCCTGTGTCCTTATCTTGCAAAAGCATCTAAATATATGAGCAGTTCAATAAGAGGCTACTGTCATTTCCCCTTGGAGGACTGGTTAAATTCTGAGTCTGCAAGAAGTTGGGTACAGTGAAGTATGACCAAGCCCTGGGCCAAATACCTGCACCCTGGGAAAGACTTCTTGCAGAGAAAATGGGGTTACAGCTTAGATGGGAGGAAGTTTTATTTTCTTAATAATTGTAATGTTGTGAGCCAAAATAAGTGTAATTTCATTTCTTTAACTTCTAGGAAAGGTCCACTTACGGTTACATCAGAGATTCTCGTAATGAGGATGTAGCTCTGGATCATGTCTTTTCAGATTTCTGTGTTTTGGCTGCTTGAGAGAAGCCTGGCTAGCTCTTGAGTATTAACTGTTATATATAGTGTGTCACCTTTAGCTATAGAAGTGTTCAGGTGCTGGTATGACTATCAGACATTTCCATTTTAGAGTAATTCAAGCAAAGAGGCTCCGGAGTTGCTACACTGACTTATTCAGAGATGGCAATTATTGCAGCTCAATGAGTCTGCTGTGCCCTAAAGGGGATTTGGACAAAGTTTCCTTGCGGAAATCAGAATATTTGATAACCACAAGTTAGAAGAGCATCTATGCATTAGTGGAGCCGCTTATCTCAAAACTGAATGACCCCCACAGTTCCCTTTCCCTTTTTACTGTCTAAGACAAGTATGAATGGGTAACACAGTGCTACTCCCCCTGCCCTCACTCTCCTCCTTTTCACAAATGGCAATGTTTGTCATCCAGAAAAAGAAATTGCTTAATGACTTCTAGGCAGCTTAAAAGTATGTGTCAGCAGTGGCTAGGGCGCTTTATGAAGACAGAAAAGTACAATGTAGCACAGATTAAAACTGAAACTTAAATGAAGAAAAATAACACCCCATGCATGTCCTGATAGCAGGTGTTGCAAGAGAGGTGCCCAATGTTTCCTGGTAACAGCTCTACCTCTTTAACTTTGCCTTTTACTTTCCAGAAGTCTGTGGACAGGCAAAACTACAGACTAGACTGTGCAACGACACCAAAGACATCTTGGGGAGCAAGGATAAACATATGTACTTTTCTTGAGCTGCCAAGAAAGCTGAAGGTAAAGATTGAAGTGTACTAAATGCTGTATGTAAGTCTCTGACCTCATAGTTGCCCTCAAACACATCTTTTCATCTGGTAGAGATCACAGGATTTCTTTCCAGGATATGACTACGGAAAGACAGGCCCTTCCAAAATTAATCCTTGCTTTGGAAAACTCTTCCTCTTTTATAACAGCTGAGCATTAGAAACGTCTTCAGAATTGCTTGCATCCTAACTGATGATTTTTTTCATCCCTGCAGATCTTTCAAGGAAAAAACAGGCTTAATCCTCTGTGAACCCTCAGGATCCAGTTGTTTCCATTCCCCACCAAGACCAGAAAGACAGTCTTGCAAAAATTCTGAGCTTTTCTGCAGTTAAATAAAGTCAGTCTATATGGTTGCTAGACAAAAGAAGTAGGAGGTGTTCTTACCTAAAAAAATGTACAGTAAAAGAGTAGCATAAGCACTCAAAATAAGCACTCTGAGAAGGAGAAACTTGAGACAGCTATTAAATGTCTTCCTCCATGACTAAATGTGTAAGAGGTTTCTACTTTTGTGTAGACTAGGTCCTGTGCTAGTATCTGGTCAGGGGTTTTTTTCAGTGTCTCTGCTTAAACTGCTTCAGGTAGAACATTGAATTCAGAGTAATGCAAACAACAGTTGTAGTCACAACCATTCGGGGGATGAACTTGAGTATAAAAAAGGCAACTTACAGTCTGGAGTGGAGATTGCCAACATATGTCATAGGATCATGCCCCTACCATGTTACTGCTATAGGGGTCTCTACACAAAGAAGTTCCAAGACCTCTGCTCTGGCACTGTAAACTGTTCCTGGCAAATGACAGTGCAGTTCTCCCATGAAAGCAAGTGTTGCTATTGCTGCATATCTGATATACTACAAAAAAAAAAAAATATATATTCTTGGGCTATTGTAGTTTTTTGCTACTACCCGAGTGGCAAGTATCACTTATCCAAGCAGAGGAGCTCACCTCTTTGTGTGTGAGAATAGCACAATTCCAGTGCAGTAT